TCGAGTGGCCTCGTGGCGAGTCGTCTTCGACAAGAGGACCGACGAGTACCGCCCTTCGAGTCAGCCTAAGGAGATGTCGAACCGACGGATCGGCTAAGTTAGGATCCTTGGTTGCCCTGATCGTTAATTTGGTTTGAGCGGTGCATGTAGAGGGACAATTGTCCGTTGTTAGCAAAGGGTCGTACTTTGGTGACTGAAAACACCATAACACTAATAAATATTTAGATTTATGGGATGGATTTGAAAATATGATTGATTTGGGAGAATGCAGTAAGATTAGCTAAAATATCATAAAATCTCTCTAACTATGAACGATAGATAACTCCCCTTAACTTTCAGAATATCAGAAGCCCCTCTGAGCTTATGGGTTATTAGAAACTCCTATTTAGCTCTTAAATATTTTATAAACAACCCTTCTAATAGATTAACGGTAACTTTTCATATAGATTAACTTATATGAGAGGATATCTTTTTAAGTGAAAATTACCGTTCACACTTCTAGAGGAGTACCTGTTGTTTAGCCAAAATTGAGTTTGTCTGATAATTGTCTTAAGTTAAGGGGGTTTTCTGATATTTAGACTAACAAAGGCCCCAAAAAGACGAGCATCCTAAAGTGAAGTATTCGACGCAAAACAAACGGCTCCAAGAAGCTCCCAAAAAGGTAAAAGAGAATGAGAACGAAAAAGCCCAGGGGGACCGCTCAACGGTCGGCAATCGCGTCCCCGGCTTTTACGGTCCCCACACGAGCTCATAATCCAAAACCACATTTACTGACATGTGGGCCCCAGCATCTGTAACCTCCCAAGAAGGACCCACTTGCTGCTTCTTAATTCTTCCTCTTCAACGTTTCTCTTCTTAAACCTCACGAGCTCAGTCTCAGCTAGCTCTCACGCTTTAATTCACAGTTTCGCTCCTCTGAGAACCCCCCCAAAAAAAAAAGAAATGTCTCTCTCCCCTCTCCTCTTACTCTCTCTCCTCAGCTCCTCTCTCTCCTCCGCCGCCAACTTCCACTCCTCGCGTCACTTCGGCCAGCTCGGCAACGACCTCCCCTCCGCCGCGTCTCCGTGACCGCCTCCCACCTCGGCGCCTCTCCGTCAAAGATCTACGACGCCACCCCTCCATCGCTCGCGCCCTCTCCGGCACCCGCGTCGCCGTCTCCATCATGGTCCCCAACGACCGAATCCCCTCCCTCGCCTCCAACGAATCTGCCGCCGACGCGTGGATCTCCACCTTCCTCCTCCCCTTCTACCCCAAGACCCGCGTCCGCTTCCTCCTCGTCGGCAACGAGGTCCTCTCCGACCGCACCAATAAGGGCGCCTGGTTCGATCTCGTTCCCGCCATGATCAACATCTACAAATCCCTCAAAAAGCACAAGATCGATGACATCAAAGTGGGGACCTCCATGGCCATGGACACCCTCAGTGCTACGACTCCCCCCTCTTCAGGCGAATTCAGACCCGATATCGCCGAGCCCGTTATGAAACCCATGCTGAAGTTCCTCAACGATACCGGATCCTATTTCTTCCTTGATGCGTACACCTACTTCCCTTGGTCTTATAACCACACCAAAATCAGTCTCGATTACGCCCTCTTCGAGGCCAACTCCTCCCTTTACTACACCGATCCACTCTCCAAATTGACCTACACGAATCTGTTCGACGAGATGCTGGATTCCGTTATTTTCGCCATGAAACGGGTCGGGTACGGATCCATAAGGCTCTGCGTCGCCGAGACCGGCTGGCCAAACGCTGGAGACATTGACGAGATAGGGGCCAACATTCACAATGCGGCCATTTACAACCGCAACCTCGCCAAGCGGTTCCGGATGCGTCCCGGTACTCCGCTCCGACCCGGTTCGTACATGCCCATCTTCGTGTTCGCGTTGTACAACGAGAATATAAAGCCTGGGCCGGGAACGGAGCGGCACTGGGGGGTTCTGTACCCGAACGGGACTCGGGTTTACGACGTGGACTTAACGGGGGAGCGAACGGAGTTCGCTCCGTTGCCGCTACCCACGAATAACGAGCCGTACAAGGGGAAAATATGGTGCGTTCTGAGGGCTGATGCGAAGAATGAGACGGCGGTGGGAGCGGCGTTAAGTTATGCCTGCGGACAGGGGAACGGCACCTGCGACGCCATACAGAAGGGGAGGGAGTGCTACGAGCCGAATAATTTGTTCGCCCATGCGAACTATGCGATCAATTCGTACTGGCTCAAGTTTAGGGACCCTCAGAACTGGGCGGCTACTTGTTATTTCGGTGGTCTCGCGGAGCAGGCTACCGTGGATCCGAGTAAGCCAAAACGTCTTTCCTCTTTGAGTTTTTTCAAATAAGCCCTTTAGCACTGTTATATTTTCGCTAACAATAGTTCTGTTGGTTATTTGTGGATGCAGGTTATGGTTCGTGCAAGTACCCGAGCCTCAACGGTTGAAAGGATTATCGCCGGCGTTTTCTTAGAGCAGTGTTATTCGTCGCATTAGTTTTTTTTTTCCTCCTCCTTCTAGTTAAGTGATTGTTGTCGTAGTGTTTTTAAATTATTTGATCTTTGTTCTGAATGGGTTTGGCGTTATTATTGTAAGATCATTAACATTTTTTGAATGATAACATCCATTATGATAACCTAGTGAGTCACAATTATGTTTCTCATTGCTAATACACTAAATTCCAATTAATCATCCATATTCAATCCCTTTTTATAATGATACGTCCATTTGACCTCTATTTGAAATAGCATGACTTGAATACAAAGTAACAAAGCAGAATCAGAATCCTTTGTCATTATAGATAATTTTCGGCTATACAAACAAGTGTTTTGCCCGTGCTCGTATAAGTGGGTGTGATTACTTTTGTTTGTAAGCAAATAAAAAATCGCTTGAATTTGAAAATCAAAATTATATAACTAGAGTTGGAGTTTTTTCATCATATAGCTTGAAATTCAAAAGGAAATTTAGAATAAATGCGATTATTTCAAAACTTGAAATTCAAAATAAAATAACTTTTATTTCAAATAAAAGCACTTCCAAAATAAACTCAAACGAATAATTATTTTTGAACCCAAAAAATGGGACCTCTTCCTGTTTGCGTCGGAAATCAATTTCATTGTAGAATCCATTACAACGTTTATCGTTTACACAGATTCAAAAGAGTTAATCTTTTTATAAGATTTCTCGTTACAATGAAAACAAAAAGTGATCTCCTAGAAACAAACACAGAGATCGTTTATCGGTCGCTGCTTGCGTGGGATCTTTGTCTATGTCGGGGATGAGGTGCATGGTACCAGGTACACAATGCATCCAGGCACCACTAAAATGTACAATGACCTAAAGAGACACTTTTGATGGAGCGGCATGCGTAGGGATATTGCGGAATATGTGACTGAGTGCTTTACCTGCCAGCAAGTGAAGCTAGAACATCAGAGACCCGTAGGAACCCTACACCCTTTACCCATTTTAGAGTGGAAGTGGGCAGATATTTCCATGAATTTTATTGTAGGACTGTCGAGGTCGAAGAAGGGGAAAGCTTCTGTTTGGGTGATAGTTGATCGATTGACGAAGTCAGCACATTTCATACTAGTGAAGACGACATACACGGCGAAGACTTATGCGAGGATATTCATCCAGGTGATCATGAGACTACATGGAGTTTCAGAGACTATTGTATCAGATTAAGGCTCGGTTTTCACTTCACATTTCTGGAGGAGCTTTCAGAACTCGTTCGGAAGCCAATTATCATATTCTAGTGTGTTCCACCAGCAAACAGATGGGCATACAGAAAGAGTTAACTAAGTATTGGAAGACATGTTGTGGACATGTATTATTGATTTTTAGAGTAGTTAGGAGGAACACATTCCATTGATTGAGTTAACTTATAACAACAGTTATCAAGCGACCATAGGTATGGCACCGTATGAGGCGTTATACGGGAGGCCTTGTAGATCACCTATTAGTTGGGCAGAACCAGAGCATAGCTTATTGCTTGGACCGGAGCTTGTGAGACAGACTACAGAGAATGTAGCACTAATTCGGGAAAACATTCTTGCAGCGCAGAGTTGGCAGAAGAGCTACGCAGATCAGAGGTGGTGACCGCTAGAGTTCTAGGTTGGAGACTATGTTTTATTGAAAGTATCACCGATGAAGGGGGTTCAGCGATTTGGAAGACGGGGAAAGCTTGCCCTGAGGTATATTGGCCCATTCAGGATTGTTGAGCGCATTAGATATTCCAGCATCGATGTCGAGTATACACGACATTTTCTATGTTTCGATGCTCAAGAAGTATTTACGTGACGAGGAGCAACAACAAGTATTAGATGCACCGAAGATTGAGCTTCATGATGATTTGACCACCATTGAGATCCCAGTTTGCATTCTTGCCAAGGAGGACAAAAGACTTAGAAACAAAGTGATACCTTTAGTTAAAGTTCAATGGAACCGAGAAAGGGGCTGAGGAAGCTTCTTGGGAGCACGAAGAGGATATGCGTTATGACTATTCGCACATGTTTAAGACAGTAAAGTGATTGCTTATTGCTTGTGTTTATGATTATTTTCCATAGTCATATTTATACTTAACGCTGGAATGGGGTTATTAACACTTAGCTCCTAATCATTCGGAACACATAGTATATATATGGGGGGTTCCTTGTTTGGATTTTTTACCTGACATACTGGTTCTATTTAGAAGTGAGAGTAATTGTATTCTAGATTGTTAAGTGTAAATATCGCTTATGTTTCATATCTAGGGATTAATGGTACGAGATGTGTACGGAAGGGTTTCCTTGTCTAGATTATCCCATCATCATGCTTTTCTCATATTATTAATCTTTAAGATACGATTGCGGAATTTCGAGGATAGTATTCTTTTAGGGGGGTGAATGTAAAACCCCATGAGTTTTGGAAAATAATGTGAATTATATTGATAAATAAGTTCTAATTATGATGAATATCATTTATGGATGAATGATTATGCTAACAATTGATTTGAGATCAATTAAGAGTATATATGAGAGTATACAAAGGTTAAACATGTACAAAGAAGAAATCTGGAAAATAACCAGCTAAGGGAATATATGCATTACACATCGATACAGTTCGAATATAAAAACTCAAAAAAGAAAATTATAGGTATCTTTAATAGATTTCCAACGCATCTTAAATCACCTCATTCCGAGGTTGGACGTGAAAGTTAGAACCAAAATACCAAAGACTATTTTTCCTGTCTGACTAGGTTTCTTGTTTCGGGTCTGGGCTGTTCTGATTCGAGTTTGTAGTTATATATATACATGTTTACACATAAAAAAAAATATTTTTTCATCAGTATTCCAAATCCTAGCCTTCCTCTCTCTCAAACCATAATCATAATTTGTGAGATTTGGGAGAGTTCTTAAGGCGTTTGTCGAGAGGAAGGCGAGATTTTGCAACTTTGGTGAAAAGGGATCTTGCACGCACGTGTTCAGGAGTTTAACACGACGTTTGAGGCAAGATCATCTTCCTCCAAACCTCTCCATGTAGTAAATTCAAGATTTAATATGTTTAATTGATAAATCTCATGTTTAAGTTTAACCTGATGTTTTAAAATCTTAGTATGATGTTAATTTTTAAACCAATATAAAAATCTGTAGTTTTAGTTGTTGTTTATATTAGTTTGATGATTATGATTATTAGGATTGTATTTAATTTTGTTTTTAACTTGTTAATCATGCTTTCATGTTAAACCCTAGTTTAATAATTATTTGAATTTTCTTGCTAATTAAAGATGTCTAAACCTCATGTTGATGATACCTAAGTGATGTGAGCATGTTTAAACGAATTTATCTCTGTTCAATGTTTAGAATTTATCATGTTTACTTAACCATATTTATAAATTAGGTTATTTGAGAAATTTTGATTAATTAGGAAGTTAAACCCTAATTAGTTTAATTCAAGGATTTATATCATGATGAATTAATTCCTGTTAAGTAATTATGAAAGATTTAATCTTGTTATATGCCTCATGTTGATAAAAATAAGTTTTTAAATAAAGTTACAAAATACAAAACATCAGAAAACCTGAACTTGTGTTTTCCTCTCTGGTCAGTCGACGATCGACCAAGACTAGCCGGTCGACAGGTGAGGCCCTGAGCGTGCACATTATGTGCACGGTTGCTTTTGGTCGACCGACGCCCTAAGGGCGGTCGACCGACATATGTTCTCTTTATTTTTGAGTGGTTGTTTTTGCATCGTTTAACCGTGAGTGCGGGGTTTGAGCCGCACGATGACACACGTACAATCATAAGCATACATGAATAGTGTTGTAGCACACACATATATCCTGGAGAGAATTATTACAGGTATTGTTTTCAACCACACTTGAGATATGAGTTATTTAAACATTATATACATGTATGGATATCGTTGATGAGCACCACTCAGTACTACTTGGGATAGTACGTCGATATACCATAGTACATGTCATTGAGTTGGGTTTTAGGATGCTTGATCTAGTATCCATCCCGCACGTAGATGCGATAAGGCTTGTGAGCCGTATACCTAGGATGAATCGATTTGGTAGTCCGTCCCGCACGTTGATGCGATAAGACTAATGAGCTGTGTACGCTATTAGCATGCCGATTTGGTAGTCCGTCCCGCATGATAATATGATGAATTATAAACTTTATAAGGATTTGCATTGTGATAATTATTTGATAGCCTGAGTCTTGGTGGACGCAATTATGAACATGACTCATCGTTGAGTTATATATGACCGAGGTATTTTACTCTTATGGGTACGCGGGATTATATATTGTTGTTTATATTATCTTCTAAGGGATAGTGGAAGATATTTTTAGTCTGATATTGTGATGATTTTACTTCCTTGTATTTCTTTCCTTTATTCCTAGTTTGGAATTAATAATTAACGATTCACAATTTGATACATATGGTATATACATGAGGGTTTCCTTATTTGGATTATTTCACTCGACATACTAGTTTCGTGTTATGAGTTTCTAATTATTAATTCTATTTAGATTGTTTATTCTTAGTTCGGTATTGATATTTAGTTATCTACAATTTGAGATATATGGTATATACATGAGAGTTTTCTTGTCTGGATTATTTCGCTCGACGTACTATGTCTCGTGTTGTAGGGTTCTAAATATTAATTCTTTTTAGATACAGGGTAAATGATCTAGGTAGACTATACTTAATAAATAGAGCCTCCATCATATCTAGTAGCCCTTCCTATATGGGCGGATGGAGATGATATTGCTATAGCGCTCTAACGTTCTTATTGTTTCTCTTTTTATTTTACAATTCCTTTCAGGCAGCAGCTCAGAGTTCCAGAGAGCCGCAGGATGATGAACTTCCAGCATAGTCATCGTCACATGTTTTTAGTAGATGAGACTCTACGATAGTTGATATTTTTTTGGACATTTAGAGTTTTGTATTTCATCTTGTAAAGGCTGTGTGCCTTAGTTTATTTTCAGTTGACTCATATTGAGATACTTCACATTTATTTTAGACTTCAGTTGTATACAGTTTATTCAGTTAAGACATGATTATATTTACTAGATATATCTTTCTACATCATATCTAATGCATTTATTTCCCGTATTTTGCCTATTTTGTACCCACACTTGTTGTTGA